ATACACACAATACTTTAATTAATTTTTTTTGGAGTGAAAAGATCTAATTTTCCTCTCTTGATCACAATGAAAATCTGCAGTCTCCGAGTAGCACAATTCAACTATTAGTGTTAACCGTTAGTGTTACTGTCAAATCCTCTTTGGTTATAGAATATTTTCTTTAAAGCAAGATTATACAAAATAATTCTCCACTAGAAATACACCCCTGAAATCTAAAAGCGATCTAAATGAACACACTTCTGCAGGCTGAAGCTATATGGATAGGACTTATAAATTTGAGTATTTCCCCATGTAAATCTAAACAAAGTTATCAAAATTATATTAAGTAAATACATTTTGAGGAATAGTAAACTTTCGAAAAATCCTTAGAATATTAAAAGTAGAGTTCTGGAAGTAGCAGTAGTGGGCTAGAGAAAACAAATAACCGAGACAGAGACCTTTCTTAAATACTCTCCATCGCCTTGAATTCACTGAGAGCCTGCACCGGGTTAACGTGTTTCTTCTGGGACGCTCGCTTGATTTTCGTCTGGGTTTCGTCTTGTTTCTCCCTCTTGACCAGGGGTTTCTTTTCCGGAGCCTTCATCTTCCAAGAGACGGCGGGCAGGTTGAGCGAGGCCATGCCCTGGGACTTCTGGTACTTGGTGGATGCCACGTAGGAAGCCTTCACGGTTTGCACCACCGCGTTCATCAGGTTCTTGGCTGCTTGGATAAGAGACATGGCACTGTCCACCTGCCAAACGGTAACACGTGAGCGTTACAGGCTGCACACAAACACAGTGTTCCAGAAAACATGACAGTCTTGGGGTGTAAGAGCACTCAAAACTGTTTTTTTCTGGGTTTTCTTTTGAAATCCGAGGTTCCAAATTAGAGGCAGCATTTTTCTTTGGACACCAAGTGGTAAAAACCTGACTTGTGCCACCAAAAAAAAAAAAAGTGCAACATTTGCCCATGGTCGGTGCCTTTTCCATATTAATGGCAATCAGAAAGATTTGTGTGCTGCTGTTTGCTTTTGTGCCTAAGCTTTAACAGGAGCTTATTCTCTAATGAAATTAATAAGGCTGTAGTAATATCTTAATTACCAATAATAAATATTTAAATCAGTCCAGAATATTAAGTTGTATTGGAAAGGAAGGAACCCAACTGCATCTTCAGGGCCGGGAGCCCTTTCCCAGGTGGTTCCTGATTTACAAGAGCATTAAAATCAGAAAAAAAAAAAAAAAAAAACATTTGCCAAAGCTTCAGCACATGGCAGAGATGAAGAGAAAAAAACAGGGCAGGGTGGGAGAGAGAGGGGGGGTACCACTGAGGTGACCTCAGCTGCGACCCCACTTCTCCAAGTGCCAGTGTCCTGCTCTGGGTGGGACCTCTGTCTTTGGAACACCAAACAGTCTGGGCAGGGTTTGGGTCTTGGGCAGGATTCTGCATCTCTGCTAAGCTTACACGAGAGCTCAGCTGCCTCTACACACTTAAATTCCAGCACTGGAGACATCTAAGGAAGGTTTTGGGAAAAACCTTGGAGCCATTGCTTATCTAGCTGTAAAATAAATTGAGCAGGAGGTTGGTTGCTTTTCTTATGCTGCTGGTACCTCCCTTTCCATCACGCTGTGTTTTGAGTACCACGACGGCGCCCTCCAGCAAACCAGCGTCGTCTGCTTTCCTCGCCCCAGTCATCACGCTGGAGAACACTCTCATTGCGTCTGACTATTTCCATGAATCTTCACAGCAGGAAAAACCATATTAAATGCAGTGAAAGCAAGGAGGTGTTTTTCTAAATGAACTGTCAGATTGCTTAGGCTGCCAGCTCTTACTGCCTTGGTTATAGCTCTGCTTTCACAAAATTTCTGTGGTATGTGGATTGGGGAGGATATTAATGTTGAAGAGACTTTTAGACAGGTGAAGTCCCTGGACTGGCAGAGGTCTCCGTCTGATAATCTGGTAGAAGCTTAACGCTACTACTGGCAATATTTAGCCCCAGTGGACAGACTCGTGGAGAACAGATAAAACCAGGAGCTGAGATGCCTGTTCATGTAACTAATTTATGGCAGAAGGGTATGTAAATTCTGAAGACACTGAATAACTGCAGTAAAACCCTGGAGTACATATTATTGCGTAATGACGCGTCTGCTTCTTTGACAGCACGATGCCTTCAGCCTTCCAGCTAACAGGACATCAGGCATGCGACAGAGGCACAGCACCACGTTTCATTGCATCTCATCACTCAGCTCTGCTGTGCTGGAAGTCGGAGTGTGTGGGACCGGCAGAGAAGCTGGTCTCCCCTGCGAAGCTGCTGAGCTTATGCAAGTGTGGTCCATCACCACCACTGCTTCTGCAGCAGGCTGCTGCTGTCCTGAAACACTCATTCCACAATCTAGCTTGTTTGCAGGGAAAGAAAGATGTGCTAATAAGTTTAAGCACTTGAAATACCTGAATGGCAAGAGATGGTAATGTTTTTTCCATTTGCTTTTAAGGATTCAGATAGCAATTTTGGACTATCAGCCATTTCTGTCCCTTCTTCATACCTCCTACCTCAGTCATGACATGGATGGGCAGAAGTACCAGTGATCAAACATAACCGTCTAGGGCAAGGAAGAAGATGCCAGAAGAAATTAAGAATTTAGCTCTACTTCCCTCATCCCAAATATCTGTCACACAGATTTTTCTTAGGAGGAAGCATTTACTGAAGTACAGGGAAAAAATTATTTGCTAAGTAATGGCTGAATAAGGAAGCAGGCTGGCTGACAGCAAATTTCAGCTGTTAGAAAACAGAGCAGCTGCTAACAATCCCTGTGATCTTCAGGGCACAGCTATTTTGAAACATTAACATCTTTGGAGTACTGCAGGACACCGGCATATTCCAAGGCTGTGCTGAGACATGGGTAGGTTTAGCTATGCTTATTAAAATGATTTAAGATCATTAAGAGTGAAAAATAGTCTGGAAAAACCCGTAGATTACACAAAGATAAAGTGAATCTGTCTACAAACATGGTAGAGTGAAGAAAAGGGAAGTCTGTATTTCACCACCTTTCAAATAGTAAGTGTTCCCTCCAAGAACAACAAGGCAGGGCCGGCAGGGTTGCCCAGGGCAGTGGTGGAGTCCCCATCACTGGAGGGATTGAAGAGTCGTGTAGACATAGTGCTGAGGGACATGGGTTAGTCGGGGACTTGTCACTGTTGGGTTAATGATTGGACTCGATGATCTGAAAGGGCTTTTCCAACCCAGGCAATGCTGGGATTCTGTATTATAAACTTAGGGTGCATTAAAACTTTGACTGAATGCTCCAAAATTTCTTGTCTACATTCTATAACGTTCAGCATAAAAGCTTAGCTTGGAATAAGTTAGCCCTGGAAGAAAAACCAGCATGAACTGCCCATGTCATAGGTCATACATACCCCAGACACAACCAGCTCCCCTCCAAGGTTTTGAACTTCAGCCTTCACTTTGCTGCAGATATTCAGCTGATGGCAATAGAGCGCAATGCGCTGCAGGTAGGCTAGGAGGTCCTGCTTGCAGGCAGAATCAGGGCACTGGAAAAATAAAAGTGAAGTTTTACTTTGCAATCACAAAAACTGGAACAGAAATTATTCAGGGAGAAACCAGACAACTCCATTCTGAAATAGCACACGTGCTCCAGAGATGATTGCACTTTCTGCTCAGCTTTGGTTTCAAAAGACAACTGAGCAATCCACAGGCATCGCTAAATACGTATCAAAAACCAGAAGCAATAAACACAGAACACGGGGGCAGCCACTGGACAAAATTGCCAGGATCTTTTCAGCTGCACTTGAGCTCCCTGCAAGGAGAAAGAGGAGGAGGACGACTACCTAACCTTTCTCGAGCAGGTTTGTTAAGTACAAAAGGTCCTTCCTGTACACTGTACAGGACACAGCAGCAACGATTTGACACCCAAGATCTCAACTTGCAACTAGCAGATATAATCCAGTCTCAATTCCCAACCCTAAGTATTTTAAGCCAGGAAATGATAAACCAGTTACTCAATTATATCCAGCAAAATAGATATTTTCCTGACTTCTGCTTCCATTTCTTAGCAATGTGGAAACTAGATTCCTCACCAGGCATGAAATAACATTTTTAAAGTGCTTGCTGAAGCACTCATCCATATGATAAAAGTAACTTTTTCAGCTTTGCAATTGAAAAACGACATAGGTACCGGAGACCGCCGAGCAGTTCAGAAAGCCGCTTCCTCGGACAGAAACGAAGGGCCAGCCCTCGCTTTGCAGAGCCGAGCAGCGAGATGATTAATGAGCCAGTCCCACGCTGGATTTCAAAACAAGAGGAGCCCTGCTGAGGGGCAGCCACAGACCAAAATGGGATCTGTAAGCGTAGGACACAAAAGCTACGGGAAGCCTTTTATACCCCTGCCAGTCCTGCAGTATCTTTAAAGCAGGCAGCGAGCAGGGTGGTCAGCATCACTCCTCCAAAGAAGAACGGGCCACCTCAAATCTACTGGCACGCTCTGGCTGTATGAAGACCAGTGAATAAAGCAGCTGGCACCCACTGAAATCCACCAACCTTTGCCCACCAGACTCTCACGCTGCTGATGAATAAACTAGCGGGCAGGCGTGCCACGCTCCAGCCCTCTGCATGCAGCACTAGCAGGGCACCGAGGGCTTGCCTGCACCCCAGCCTGGGGCACCAAACATCTTGTGACCCGGTAAATACTTGGGTCACTGGCCAGCTCTGACCTCCCAGCATCACTGGCTGTGCTGCAAGCAGTGCCCAAGACGACAGATTTTAAACCAGTCTGGATATTCATGATGGCAGAAGCTATTGCAATAGGGATGCTGGGATATTACAGTCCGACAGATCATGTCCTGGTAGACCAAAGGCAGACCCTGCAGTGATCTCCTCCTTCTGAGATGGCTGCACGCCATCCAGAAACTCCTTAAAGCTCCAGCACCCAGACTCTTGGCACACAACTCCCCATCACTAAACGCAGGCTTTCCAGCACCCCATACACACACGCTCCTGTACAAACCCCAAATGCTCTTCCCTGGCCCCACAGCTTAGCTTGACTCAACAGCAAGAAGGGCTCATCACCCTCCGCTTCTTCCCTCCAGGCACTGCGTGAGCTGCTTGTCCCAGAGATACTGGACACTGGCTGCCTCCAGAGAAGCACCAAAAGCTCCACAGAAATCACAGGTGGTCACAGTGATTTACCAGTGTGAGACATGTGCAAGGTCCTGCACCTGGGTCAGGGCAACCCCAAGCACAAACCCAGGACGGGCAGAGAATGGATGGAGAGCAGCCCTGAG